AGTGGGGTTCCCCCTGCCCTCCTTGCCTGCCACCCAACGTGCTTGTGAATGTTGAGTAGAACTAAGATTAGGCAAAGGCACTTTAGTTTGCGTACCTGGAACTAATTTGGGGGTGGCGGAAAGGGCTGTCAAGTCGCAGCCAGCTTATGGCGACCCTGTAGGGTTTTCAAGGCAGGAGGCGGCTTGCCGTTCCCTCCCTCTTCGTAGCAGCCCTGGTCTTCCTTGGTGGTCTCCCATCCAAGTACTAACTAGGGCCGACCCTGCTTAGCTTCCGAAATCTGACAAGATCGAGGAGCTTGCCTGAGCTGGAACTAATTCAGCAGTCGCAAATGAGTAACAGCCAGCTGTGTCCCCCACCTCTCGGCACACCAAACTCGCTAGAAATGGCAACGTTGGACGTTTTTAGAAAACAGGAAGGCACAAATGTTTTGGATCAATACAATGTTGCCCAGTAGGCAGAGCTGTGCCTTTAAGAATCCTTCCTGGGTCATCTCCAGGGTTACCCTTACTGTGTGCTGCTGTTGTCATGGCGTTGCTAGGGAGGACCCGAGAGAAGCCCAGCTGACTTTGCCAAGGCAAATACCTGCCTGAATAGGGAAGTGGATGAGTAATGAAAGGGGAGGGGGACAGACACAGCTGTTGGCAGAGAGGCCCCAGCTCCTTCCAGGGCTGCCTGCTTCTGCTCCCTGCTCCCCTCACTGGAAGCCTCCCTCCAAGCAGAGACTAGGCAACCACTTGTTGGAAATGGATTTCCTGCACTGGGGATGGGGGCAGCAGAGGATTTATAAGGGCCCTTTCCAGTGTATAGCTGCGGTGGCTCAAGTGGTTAAGACGCTGAACTGCAGGCTGTAGAAGGTCAGTAGTTCAGCAGTTCGAGACCCGAGTGTGCCGCATGACGGAGTGAGCTCCCGTCTCTAGTTCCAGCTCCTGCCAACCTAGCCGTTCGAAAGCAAGAAATTGCAAGTAGATAAATAGGGACCACTTCAGTGGGAAGGTAACAACGTTCCGTGCGCCTTGGTGTTTAGTCATGCCGGCCACATAACCACGGAAACGTCTTCGGACAGCGCTGGCTCTTCGGCTTTGAAACGGAGATGAGCACCGCAACCCTAGAGTCGGACTCGACTGGCTTTCGAGCAAGGGAGACCTTTACCTTTACCTTTATGGCCGTTCAGGGGTGGCTCTGCAGTCAGTACAGCATTGCCCCAAGGTATTTGGATGTGGTTTTGAGCTGCACTTTTCCCTCCCAGTTGAGCAAATGTGGAGCAAATGCTAGATGCAGAATCGCCCTCTGTTGCCTGTACTGGAGCTTGGGGTGGTGGTGGTGGTGGAGGCAGGCACAAGAGGAGGCAAGACCTTCCCCCATGCCACTGCAAGCCTCGATGCTAGAAGGGAGGGGGAGGCACCATTGTGCCTTGCTTTTCTGATCGTATCATTCTCTCTCCCCCTCCCCCATCCTCAGAACCATCACACCCTGCCAAGGGAGGTCAGGCTGAGAGAGAGAGCGTGACTGACCCAAGGTCACCCAGCAAGCTTCCCATGGCAGAATGGGGATCTGCACCTGGGTTCTCCCCGCATCCTAGTCTGACACTCTAGCCCCTGTGCCATGCCAGCTTGGAACGGCAAACGTCTGCTGGACGGCCGTCCTCGTGGTGGGGCTGCTCACGTGCTTCTCGGCACACACACTGAAAGTCACTGCACCGTCCCCTCCCTCCCTCCCCCCCGCTGATCAGATTTGCTCATGGGAAGGGAAGGGAGGCCATCAAGCAGGGTCTGGGGCACGGGTGGGCCGGGCGGCTGCCTGGGGCTCCTGGGTAGTGGGATAGACATGCAGGTGGCGGAACGGCAGGGAGAGTTTGCTCTGTGGCCCGGCTTGAGCCAATACCTGTAGAAGGGGTCTCCTTTGGCGTTGGGCCCCACCACTTCCATGGTGCTGGTGTAAACCAGGTACTGGGTGCCTTGTGTCACACACGCCTCAATCACATTCTGGGTTCCTGTGTTGAAACAGCGGGGAAGGCGGGTCGAAAGACACAAAAGACAGGTAAATCACACACCCACATACTGGTCTTTACACAATCCCGTGCTGGGAAAAAGACAACGTTCAACGTCTCTGCTAAGCTAAAGGCCGTGTGCTCTCTCCGGCTGCCCACAGGTGCCCCGGGGCAGAGACCCTTCTGTGGCATCCGTGGGCCAAGGAATCTGGGACGATCTTAGGCCGCCTGAAACGCCTTTGGCGAACAAAGCCATTCTCGTGTCTGTTTCGGCTTAACCAGGCATTCTGCTTCGACTAGCCACAGGGTGGGCAGGGACGCGGTTATGCAAGGCACAGAACTCATCTTCCCCACCTCCCGCCAGCATCTTCTAGAATTCCATCAGGGACTGCTCACGTTTTCCAGTACTAAGCTTTCAAAACAGAAAGCCAACGTTTCCAGCATGTGGGCCAGCGCACTGTGACTGCCGGCACAAGGAATGCATTTTCCTGGGCGATGACTGCGGACAGTAGGGATGGGTTGTTTTTTTTCCAGTTGCCTGTGCTGGGAGGGGACTGAATTTCCTACAGGGAAGAGGATGGATGGACGGAAATTACGGGGGTCTTAAAACCGAGGTGGAGGTCGTTGGGGGGGGGGGGGGTGTCCAGTAAGCTGCGGCAAAGCACGCAGGGAGTCAGGATTGCTGGGGAGGAGTGAAGCACACTGACTAGAGCAGGGGGAGGCTGATTTGGAAGGAGGGGGAAACCCATCACACTAGGGGTGTGTGTGTGGGGGAGGTATTTGTGAATTTCCTGCATTGTGCAGGAGGCTGGACTAGATGACCCTGGAGGTCCTTTCCAACTCTATGATTCTACACCTCTGAGGAACCTGTTTGACATCAAATGTGTCCACTGAAGAACCTCCATGCATCGTGCAAAATGCTGGAGCGAGCATTCCTTCCAAGAAGCTTGACCACTGTCCCCACCCACATTGCTGGCCAGACCAGTCTGACCTTCTTGCTGTGGAGGGGCATCCAAAAGCACACCTTTAGAACGACATCCGGCACCCGGCTGCTATTTTGACTTCGGGTCTGTAGCAGAGAGCCAGGAATGATACCGGTTTTGCTGGACCCAAGAGCTAGTGGCAGTGGAGAACCTCCCTGTGCCAGTACCCCTTTCCGAGAGGAAAGCCAATCATTTCTCCTTGGGGAACAATCCCAGAAGACCACGGTATAAGCAGCCAGTCACCCTTAGTTTCAGGCATTCCAGTGGCCGTTCAAAACCTCAACACTCAGCTGTCTAGATAGAAGCAGTACATTCCCTAAGCACTGCTGGGCATCACTTGTTTTAGTTGGTCACTGAATTGAGAGGGCCGGTCATGAAGAAGAAGAGGCAGAGGAGGAGGAAGAGATTGGACTTATACCCCACTCTTCACTACCTGGAGTCTCAGAGCATCTTACAATCCCTTCCCTTCCCCACAACGGACACCCTGTGAGGCAGCTGGAGCCGAGAGAGCTCTTTCGAGGACTGCTCTTGAGAGAACAGCTCTGAAAGAACTTATGACTGACCCAAGGTCACACCAGCAGCTGCATGTGGAGGGATGGGGAATCAAACCCGGTTCTCCCAGATCAGAGTCCGCGCTGCTGACCACTACACCAAACCATATTAGAGGTTGGACTCAACTGTGCAACTGAACAACAACAACAAAAAGCTGTTTCCCTAAAAATCTTATCCACGGTTGCTAACCTGCTCATGGAGGAACCCCCACTAAGCTTCCAAATCAGCTGAGCAGATTCTAGAACACAGCTCAAAAAGGAATGAATTCAAGTACAGGATTGGAAGCTTTGGACTCCTGGATTAATTCAGATAAGGCCAATTTCTTTACTGCAAAAGACAGTTTGGGTCCACGATCTCCCCTCCTCCTGTGTAACAGACACACATGAGTTCCTTAATCCCTGCATGATACCCAGTTCAGATCCTGTGATGCCACGGTCGTGATCTGAATCAGGCACCTTGTGCACAAAATTCAGCTCTTTTTGTAGCAGGAACTCCTTTGCATATTAGGCCACACACCCCAATGTAGCCAATCCTCCAAGAGCTTACAGAGCTCTTCTTATAGGAGCTACTGTAAGCTCTTGGAGGATTGGCTACATTAGGGGGGTGTCGCTTAATATGCAAATGAGTACCTGCTACAAAAAGTACTGTTATAAACAACAGGCACCCAGATCCCAACTTGTGTCCTCTGTAATGTGCGAATCGGACCTTTAAGGAACTGGGAACAGCCAGAGGAGTTCCGCAGGGCCTGTAAGACGGAGCTCTTCCGCCAGGCTTTTGAATAGGAGCTGCCACCATCATTGTGCCACCATCATTGTTCCACCAATGCCCTATGATTTCCGCATATTGCTACCGCTGGTGCGGGCACCATTGGAGGGAACGGGATGTGTTTAGGGGATGGCAGGGCAGTGGGATTCGCATTGCTGTGACTGTCCAGCTATGCCACAGAGTACACCATCTTGGTCTTAAAATCTTAAAGCCCTAACATCTGGAACTGAATAGAGGAGCACTGAAAATGTTTCATGATGTTTATTTAATTGTGTATTAACTGTTTATCGTATTTTAACATTTTATACTGTTTCACTGTTACTATCTGGCCTTATGCCCTGTTAGCCGCCCTGAGCCTCCGGGGAGGGCGGGATAGAAATCCAAATCAATAAAATAAAAATAATCTGCCTGCAAGAATGCCAAGATCCTGCACCTGTCCCAGGGCACTCCTCTTCCACAGAGGCCAGGAGTTGTAGAAGGGGAATCGTCCCACAATAAGCATCAACCGAAACCAGCTTCATCTTGGAGGAGGATGCAAATGGATTCAGGGCTGGGTCTTTGAAGACGCCTCGTTGCAGATGTTTCTGACACATCAAACTGCCTGACAACTGCTTTGCTCCTCCCAGGACACATCTGGCGTTGCTAAACACAAGAAACACCCCCCCAGCATGGAAATTATTGCACTAATTCCTGGCTGGCTTTTGCCTGGAGCCACTTCTCATCATTAGGCCTGAGGGTTTTTTCCAAAGCTCCCACCACCACCATTTTCTAGCAACCCAAAAGATCCATCTTTGAGCAGGCGGCTATGGTTTATAGCAGGGAGGGGCACATCTGTGTTAATGTGAAACGGCAAAAACTGAAATAGAAAACAGAGGTATTTCAAAATTACTTAGCTGTAAGTGATCAGTCACAGCCGTCTTTAGTAGCACCACAGGAGACCGTAAGAGGTGCCCTGTCGGCTCAGGCCCATCTAATCCTGCACCTGGTTTCACACACGATAGCCAGGCACTGGCCCTCCAAGACCAACCTAAAGAGTGGAGAGGCCAAGGCCTTCCCCTGCTGCTGCCTCCCAGCACTGGTATTCGGAGGTTTTCTGCCCCTGGATATGGAGTCACCATGCCATTGATGGACTTCTCTGTAACTCGGTCTACTCTCATTTTGAAGCCACCCAAGAGGGTTTTTTCCAAAGCTCCCACCACCACCATTTTCTAGCAACCCAAAAGATCCATCTTTGAGCAGGCGGCTATGGTTTATAGCAGGGAGGGGCACATCTGTGTTAATGTGAAACGGCAAAAACTGAAATAGAAAACAGAGGTATTTCAAAATTACTTAGCTGTAAGTTATTAAGCACAGCCGTCTTTAGGAGCACCACAGGAGACCGTAAGAGGTGCCCTGTCGGCTCAGGCCCATCTAATCCTGCACCTGGTTTCACACACGATAGCCAGGCACTGGCCCTCCAAGACCAACCTAAAGAGTGGAGAGGCCAAGGCCTTCCCCTGCTGCTGCCTCCCAGCACTGGTATTCGGAGGTTTTCTGCCCCTGGATATGGAGTCACCATGCCATTGATGGACTTCTCTGTAACTCGGTTTACTCTCATTTTGAAGCCACCCAGTGCTCGTGGCCATCACTTCATCCACTGGCAGTGACTCCCCCACCTTCATTACCCCTTGAGTGAAGCAGTATTGCTTCTTGTACATTCTGGAGCTATTGCCCCATCAGCTTCGTTAGGTGCCCCTGAATTCTACCATTATTGGAGAGTGTTGGGTGTTACAAGTCAAAACACTTCAGCATTTACAGGGTTAATGATGTTTGTTAAGTCACATGTTTGTTTGTAACCAATCTGTTTAGACAATAGGATGCCCCGGGGAACTTTGGGGCTAGTTTGCTAGTCTGATTGGAAACCAAGGGGTCAAGTATTTAGCATACTGGTTTCTCCTCCAGTTCTTTGTTCTGACTAGAGAAGGAGACGCCATTCTGGCTCTTCCCGTTTTACCTTTTAGCTGTAAGGATGAAGACATATGAGCTCTTTGCTATTTTATATCCTGTGTACCGTTTTTCCCATGTTAGCTTTATAGTAAACTCTTATATTTTAAAACACACCATGGACTCAGTCTCTTAATACTCTGCTGACTTACTTAAAAAGAATCCCAACAAAGGTTATGTGTGGGGTTTTTTCTTGTACATTCTGGAGCTATTGCCCCATCAGCTTCATTAGGTGCCCCTGAATTCTACCATTATTGGAGAGGGAGCAAAGGGGATGTCAAAGACATTTTGGGAGGGACTCGTGGACATTATGACCTAGTGACATGGGAATAGGAGGCCTTTCCAGCTTCTCCTTTTGGGATGCGGTGAAGGAAAGAAGGTCTATGAGGAGAACAGACAAGAGTGTGCTGCTGTCAAACTGCAGAGTACAATCATCTTGAAAAGAAAGTGGCCTGCTTAGATGTTATCTGGGTTCAAGCACCCCATCTTTGATCTTAGATGTTATCTGGGATCAAGCACCCCAAGCTCTCATTGAAAGTACCAGTTCAGAGGGAAAAGTTGCAAGGGAAGAGAGTATGTCTGACTCAGTGAAGGTGAGGTGAAGCAAAGCTGAAAGTTCAAGGGAAAGAAAAGTCAATTGGTAACAAAAGATCCAAAATGCTGGAAAAGGCTAACAGTTCAAGGGAAAGAAAAGCTGTAACCTCTACCTTACTTTCTTCC